CTGTTGCAGAAGTGCTTTTGGATCCTACTGTGCCAAGTGCCAGGCAAATACACAATGAAAACACATTGTGTTTCAGCACATAAAGCTAACAGCTGAAAAAGTAGCATATCGGCAAGGGCTCTGTTTATAAACAGAGTTCTGGCATAAGCAAAGACTGTGTTTCGCAATTGCGTTAAGCCACATATTTGTCTGTTTCGAGCCAGGTCCGTTCCTTGATCAAATTTTCTGTGGGGCTGTTCGATTCCTACTGCTAATACAATGGAGAGAGCGGGAAGACAAAATCAGAGTGGACTAAGGAGGAGACTCCCTCTTTTGGCAAAATATCTGCATTTAGATCAATTTAAATGGACTGCAAAACTCTGACCTTGATTATGAGGGGGTTGTTGCTATTGTAGAGTGAGGACTCTTATGGAGGAGTCTCGCTTAGGTATGAAGGCCTTTTTCCAGTGTAGCTTGTAGTGTTTGAGAAGGAATTTAAGCTAAATCTGAAACAGCCACTCCATTAGCTCTCTTCTGTCCATAAGTTAGTGCAGGACACGTTGTTGCTTACATAACAGAGCTTATGTTTTATGGCGAAACTTTTGCACAGAGGTCAGGTCTTTAACAAACTGCATTTTTCAAATGTTGGCTAATGCATTTTTGCAAAGCTTATCTAGTCTGGGATTTTAAAGTTGGAGTGTCTTGTGGCACTGTTTGGCTTGGCCTGAAGCATTCTCAAGAAACTGTAAATCAGACAGATAAAAATCAGACACATTGAGTTGATCGAAGTGACTTTCGTTTATTGAGATACGACATTTAGTCAGATCATTCTACCTCTATGTCCAGATTTAGTCAAATCCTAAGTATGGGGCAAACGAAGGAAGTGGTTTGGGGTTGTTTTTTATGGCAACTAAAAATGTTATCCTTCTGATAGGCATCTATACATAATGATTCATTTTGGTAATTGCTCATTGACTCCACTGGCAGGCTCCTATTAACACGTGTGTGTGTGTATATGTGTATATGTATCTCTCCATGGTTTAATTTACCTGTAATAGCTTACACTACTGTTACTTGTCTCTGGTTTGTTAGAATAGCCTGTTGTGTTATTGCTGGGGGGCTAGAGTGTCTGGACTGGGGAGGAGGCTTGGTTGATTTCCCTGGCTTAGTGTTTACTTGGCCTTTACGTTTCAGCTGTGAGCACGTATGCCCCAAGCTAAAGGAGCCAGAAGGAAACCAAGAGATGTACTTGTGCATCTGGGTAGAAAATACTTAGTGCCATTATGGAGATACACATTTCCACCCCCACGGTGGTAAGGGGTGGTGGTGTGTTTGGTGGCTATGGCCATTATGTGGAAGGTGCAAGCCACAGAGCAGAGCTCCTCCCGAGCTCACCTGGCCGACGAGCGCGCAGCCTCTTGTCTTTCCGCACAAACCTCCTCTGGGAGAGCTGAGCCCTCTTCTAAAAGAGAGCTTCTCAAAAATGTGGAGGGCTGGTTTTCGTAATGAAGCAATTCCTTCTTTTTTCAGTTAGAAGGATATTTTGGGTTTCTGCCCCCTACCATTTAGATATGAAGGCTCCTATACTTAATTCCCTTTATATACCTTAAATACCAAAAGCAGGTACAGTAGAAAAGGCTCATGTTAGTTAGCCTCCTGTACTAGACTCACCCGTACTGAATACCACTTTGTATCAACAGCGTAAGTCTGTTGATTCCACTTCCTTTGCAGTTCAGGTTAAGTGAGCGGTGTAAGCCATTTGACAGTCAAAGCTGTAATGTCGTCGCATGCCAGGGATGGGGAATGTGGTGTGAGCTTTCCTGATTCTGTTGCATCAGGAAGGCTCTTGCATTGGGATAGGTGTGGCGTTGTATCATGGGGATGGGGGAGCTTTGGGTTTGAAGGTAACTTAGAGTTTAACACTTTTGATGATGGCTGGTTTGTTACCTAGAATGAAAGTGGTAAATTAAGTCAATTGTCATGTTTTCAGATGATGTAAAACTGTTCTGTCTCTCTCCCTTTGTTGTGTTTGGTTATAAATAAGTTCCTTTCAGTAATACGTTATCCTTGCATAATCCTATGGGCCTCATTTCCGAAACAGCTGTATTCTGGGCATATCGTTACATGAACCACGGACAGATTTAAAGTCGCTTAGTGGACTTCTTGGTATTGATAATAATGTAACACCTTTGCAGGTTCTTGCCACTGTGTTCTCCTGGGGCTTGAAGCTTGCTTTCTTTTCCTCCTTTCTGAACAGTAAGCTCAAATCTCTCCAAAATAATGTGATAAGCATGTTTTGCATGAGGACCCACTCACACTGAATGCAAACTAGCCTCAGCGTTGAATGTAGCCACCTTTCCTCAGACCCATTTTCTGTGGCACTGCAAAATGTTTGATTACTTTTGTGGAAGCTGTATGAAGGCACGTATGTAATCTGAATTTTATCTCCGCGTTTGCAAATGTAGCATCTCTAAATTTCTCTGTGCTGTGATTCTTTATTTCCTTTTACTCTATTGTGGAAGGTGACAGGACTACTAAAGCATTCATCGCTTCTGAGCCAGGGTAATATTAAACAAATTTGGCTCCATGCTTTGGATATGTAAACGTGTCAGACCGGTGGTATACTCTGTCCTGTTTGCTTCCGCCAGCACACCCACTCCTGATGTGCATGCGAAGTTCAATGTGTATTTTGCAAACTGGCTGAGGTAGTGCATGTAATTTATGTCTCTGCGACATTTTGTGCTGTGCCCTTGATTCTTCCATGCACCTAAGTGCAGCTGTTAATACTGTCTTATGTTATGGCTTATGTATGTGAAGATGAATAGAGAGGCCTGAAGAATTTTTTGGCACAGGTTAGCTAGGAGAAAATTATTCTCCACGTGGGTTATCTAGACAATGAAAAACACTGAATAAACACAGTATTTCATACTTAAGGCCTGCAGTCTTCATTTGGTGAATATTTCCATTAAAATTAGTGGAACTATTTACAGGCCCAGTTCTGCTTACATTGAACTCACTAGGGAAAACCAGCTGATTCTAGAGATGCCATGTAACCAAAAATCTGAATAGCGTTGGTCTTTCTGGCCTTACATCATTTTACTTAACAAAACAGTCCTTCATCTAGTGTTAAAATAGGAGTCAATAAATACTGTTCTGTAAAACAGAATTGACTCTGAATTTGTCAGACAACTCAAAGTTGTCTGAACCAACTGCTCTTAGTTAAGAGCATATGAAGAGATCTGAGTTTAAACAATGTTCAGCTCCTCATTCATGTTAAATTGAAAATTTACCCATTAAAATTGAATTTTAAAATGTAACACTTTACATGAGAGAGAGAGAGAGAGAGATTCTGTATGTGTCTATTCAGGAATAAAATTGTGAAAAAGCTATCTCTCTCGGAAGTACAATGCTATTTTATTACTGACATGTAAAAATCAGTGTGAAGTGCAATTATTAAAAATCCCATATATCAGGCAGTTTAATGACAATGTCCAGATTTTTTTAGAACTTTTTTCCATAAGTGCTAAAACATCACAGATCCAAGGACTAAATAATAATAATTTTGAATGTAATTTGATCGTACGTGTGTGAAAGTAGAACCCGTATTTAATCAGTTGTCTTCCCACAATATTTCATTTTAAAGATTTGTTTTAATTTAATTAAAATAGTAATGCAGTGTGTAATTGCTCCGAATTTTTTTTTCTTCTTGAATTTATAATGACCTTAACCTATTACTTATTGTATGTGCTTTTATCTCAAATTTCGTTTTCATACACACTGACGTTAACCACCTATAGATTTATTCTTAAAACTGGTACAGTAAGGTTAATAACCTGTTTACGTTGAAATTCAAGTTAACCTTACTTTACAAATAGGCTGAGAAGGATGCCTCTTTCACAGTCTCCTCGAAAGAAAGCTTGGGCAGTGCAGGTCTGCAGGGTGACTATTTCAAAATACAGAGACCAACACTGTCGGTAGCACAAATGGTATTGGCAGCTCTCTGAAGCCTTTTACTTCTCTGTTGCAGCTTCTTTTCTAAGCTCACAGTGTCTCTTCAGCCTTCTTTAAGCAGAGAGCAAACCTGTCTCTTCTCGGGGCTCCAGAGGTACTTTTTTTTTTTTTTCCCCTGCCTTCTGTTTCTTTCCCAGTTTGTCTTTATCTGGTGAGCACAAATGAACTACATGTCTTGTGGCAAAGCACAAGCCTGGAGCTGCGAAAGCCTGTTTCCTGGCTAGAGAAATAAAGCCTGTAAAATTGGAATAAACCCAAAAATATTTCTGTCTAAGATAAGGCCTTTTTGGCCATTGTTTGTCATTTGTGCTGACAGGGCAAAAGAAGTTCAAGTTTAAAATAAGCCTGACTGAAAAATACTATCCTTTCTAAATTTCCTTTTCTGCCTTTTTTTTAGGAGATGTTCATTTTCCCTTTCCCAGTTTTTTAGCTTCGGCAAACGTTTTCTTTGCACTCATTTTGTTTTTCACCAGTTATGCAAAAATTCAACCTCCAGATTCATAATTAAAGTTCATGGTATTCAATTCACATTTTAAACGACACTGAAGTATTAATTTTGCACTTAGAGAAGAAACTTGTTTTCCGCACTTTGTTACTGACTCTGAAGCAAGAAGAGAATTAAATTTTAGTATTAGGATTCTTCTTCTCGAGACGGTTTTATTTCCTACCAACATTTGCACGTTTGGCTGTGCCACATACATCAGCGCTGGAGGTGTGCTGTGCATTTAACTACGCCGCGCACCCTGCAGCGCCTCGGGTTACCCGAAGGTGTGTCGCATCCTGTGGCGCTCCATACCCTAATTTAGCCTGACATTATGCTTTGACTCATCACATTAGGTTAGATATACCGTGTGTGCCCATACATGAGAGGATGTTTTTGTGCCGTACAGTTACCGTAGATTGGAGGAGCTGGTGTTAAATGTTGGATGTGATCTCGGTGTTCAAGCTTCCTGGCCTCGCACCGAAGGAAATAAATCAGCAGCGCACTAATGACATGTTCTTCTCTCTAGGCAAGCTGGCACAGGGGCCCTGAGGGAAGACCCACGGGAGAAGAGGGATCAGCTGGACCAGAATTTAGGCCACAAGTGGAAGGCATCTGTCAGACCTTTGCATGCGCGAGAGCCTACGGTTCTGCCTCACGAGAGCCGCGGGAGATCTGGGACGTTGCCTAGTGACTACCGATACTCTCAGGAAAACGTGAACAAGAAGAACAAGGATCGTAGCCTGCCTCATCTTCCCTGCTCTGAGACACAGACCTTGAATGAGAACCACTCCTGTCTGTCTCGGGGCAAAGCAGAGGAAAACCATAGGGTAGAGCCGGCGCTGCTGAACAAGAAGCGTGGACCTGCTCCTCAGAGGCCGCCACCACCTAAAAGAGATAAATACAGGCGACCGGATAATTCTGCGCCGTCACTCGGCACCTCTTCTGAATCTCTGCTGGTAGCGCCCAGCCAGCCCTTTCCGTCCTCGTCCCCCAACTCCGCCGAAGTATTTGCCAGTCGCTCTTCTCTCTGTCAGAGTCCTGCAGCTTTCAATGGAAAACTGAAGAGTGCTAATCCACAGCAGCTCCAGCAAGCGTCATCCACGGAGAATGTTTGTCAGCACTTAGAAGAAAAAACGCACCTTAGGTCTGAGTCTGTATTATCTTCCAAGTATCGGTATCTTCAAAAACCTGGCATGGAGACATCAAGGTCCCCTTCTCCTCAGTTTGCACCACAGAAGCTCACGGATAAACCTCCTGTGTCCTTACAGGATGAGAACCCAGCCAGGTACTCGATGTAACTCCTTTGCTATTTTATTAATGCTTTTTGCCCAGTTAGACCTTATTAATGGTTGACTGTTCGTTCTCTTTACTAAAAGCACATCCTTCAGGTTCATTAAGCATGAGCCATCGCAGCTTGTCCTAAAGAGACCTAAGACTTATGTGAAATTCCAGTTGGTACCATTGAAGTCCTTCAGCTGGTCTGTGGTTTCTTTTAGTTGACTGATGCTACTCAATGTTACAGCTGGTAGTTAGTAGAAAATTAAAGGGATGGATTCAAATGGATTTTCCACTGTAAGTCTGGGTGAAATCAGAAGATTCCCTGTCGTCATTTCCCCCATCCGAGTTTGTATATGAATATGAATCGGTGTAGGGACAAAGCAGATGTGGGAAGGGAAGCTGTATCCTTTGTGAGAACATCTGTTTTGAAAGTGCACACAGTAAGGTACACTGCCAAATCATGACTGTTTTCATGTTGCTTTTACAATGAAACGTGGCACTCCAGGTAGTCTGCGGAGGGGTCCGCAGCACTGTTTGTGTCAGCAGGAGAATGTCAGTCCTTTCCCAGGCTAGATAAACTTAGAATTAGACAAACCAGCTGAAATTAATTGATGCTGTGTCTGTCATATGCTGCTAACATCATAAAAGGTTATTCTCCCACAAGATAACAAACTCTTCCAGGAAGCTCAGGAATCTTAGTTTTCATAAATCCTTCAGCACTATAATTCATGGTTAAAGAATGAAAACAAAACCTCCGAGCTGAATGAATGCAGAGGTTGCTTCTCTGAGCAAAAGTAGTTGGAATAGCTTTTCTCTACTGTAATGTGAATAGTTGAATAGACTCAATCACGCTGTTTTCCAGTGTGCCTTATGACATAGAAAACATAGAATCACTTTTTTCCTAAACATGCCTTGATGTTTTTCCTCTTGTAACCGGAGGGAAAAAAAAGAGATTTCATCCTGCAGTGTTTTTAACATGAAGCAATAATACAGTTTACTATGAAAAGTGCAACATGTCATGTGAACCCTAGCATCTATGTGCAAAGGTAGATGACAGAAATGACTTCCTTAATGTATTGCTTTGATTTCCTTAGTGTATTGCTTTATGAATAGATACTAAGGATGCACAGAAAGCTAATTGTATTTGTCCTTCCTTCTTACTAGCTTTAATGTTGAAATGAGCACTGAGGTGTGGCTAATTATATGGCCGTATCTGAATGATAATACACTTACCCTGCAAATCTTTTGTTAACATTTAAAATTCTTAAGCCCAGACAGCTCTTGTTTGTGCACAATGTATTGTCCTCAGTTAATAATTACATTAGTCAATAAAACAGGTATGGCAAAAAAGGAAAGACATGCAGGCCATACCTCTGAACCTTCTATATGGTATTTACTATATGGTGTCTATATGGTGTTTATTTCATATGAGTAAAATATGTCAAGTAGATTTATCTTAAGCCAAATCTAATTAATTGCATATTATTACTTCTGTTGGCTCCTTGCATATGAGCTCTCGGACATGCCAGTTTGCATGCTCTGGGCAGCTAATGTTTGATGATGTCAGCATGTAGCTGTTTACTCTTCTTTAAGAAAGGTGTCTTGTTTATCAACAGGATAAACTGAGTAAGTGTGTAGGGTTTCCTGCAGCGTTCTAGGTAGAACAATGTAGCGTGGGGAAATATTGGTGATGTGCAGAACCCAGCTATTTCCCAAGACAACTGTTTAGCAATAATAAAGATGAAAAGAGTGCATCAGTAGATGTGCATCGACAGATTTCCCGTAAACATACACTCAGGTCAAGGAGTGACTGTGCTTGTGGTTGGAGTAAAGCTTTGTAATGGCCACAAGCAGAGTTGCTGCAAGTCAAAATTTCATGCCACAGTTCCACAAATGGAAAACCTTCAAAATTCAGGAGGACAGTGATTGCAGAAAGAGAATTTCTGAAGCACCTGGTGTTGAACTCTCTTTGCTCTGACTGAAATCAGTTGACTTGATGATGCCATAAGTATCTGGAAAATCTTTTACTAGGCTGAGAGGAATGTACTCAAGAGTCCAAAAACAGATGCCGGGCATGCAGTCAGCTTGCTTCTTCTCTTCCAGTTGCCCTACGCACACTTACTTCCGCCAAATTCAGAATGTGTTCCTCTTCACAGTCTGGTGGAGTCCAAAAGGTGTGGGCTTTATTTAAAAACAAACAAAAGAAAGGGCTGGGGGCAGTGGCAGGCCTCTGCCCAGCTCCACTGCAGCCAGGAGGAGAGCCCACATCTGCAGGCCGGGAGCTGGGGCTGAGCGGCGGACACAGGATCGAGCTCTTTAAAATGACAGTTGCCTTGAATGAAAACACCGTGACCGAATGGGAGTGGAGGGGCTCAGCATGGGCTGGAAAACCTACCCCAAAAGTTGGATCAGTATGCCAAAGCATGTCCACAAAGCACTTGAGGAAAGTAAATGCCTATTGGGAGGCTGCACATTCATTCAGAAACAAATATACCCTTAAAATATAAGATACAACTTCTGAAAAATGTGAAGTCAAACAGATTTTGCTATTCCCTATGAAAGAAAAGTGCAGCACAATAAAGTATGAGTTTATTTTTAAGGCAAGTGACACACCCACACTTAGAGGAAAAGAGCCATAGTATGTCTTGCTCACTTATCTGAAAGGCAGCAAGCAACCCAGCCAAATGAAACCAGATATTTTAGCTAGTAGGCAATGTTCCTTTGCTTGCTGTAGAGCTTCCAAACCCACATTACGACAATAATTTTAAACTTGCTGCAAACTCAAACCCACCAAACTAGACTTCAGTTTCTTATATGGTTTACATACAGTACAGATGTTTCAGTAATGTTATTTAACATGTTATTGTCCAATTTAAAAATCTAAGTTAGCCTCCTCTTTAAATAGCTTGCCTAACTGAATGTCCAAGGTGACTCTTTGTGCTGCGCAGTACAGAATTTTTGCTATAAGCTTTCCTTAAAAGGAGTATCCAGAATTGTGTTACCCTCTTCCGTGGCTGGTTTTTCTCCTTCAAGTAGAAAATTACGACACTATGGTGGGATCTATTTATTAAACTTCTGTATCTTGTGTGTAATTTTACAAATACAGATTATTTTTTTTAAATCATGTAATTAAGTTTTGAATGATTTCCAGGTTTTCCATGTGTGGTTATTTGTTATTCTTGTAGCTCGGCAAAGACCTAGCCTGCAGGATGCTTCCATCTGGTCTGTTGTCTCTTCCCTTGGAAGAGCTGGGAATTGATGTGAGGGCATCACAAACTCCCCAGGCAGCTAAGCCGCTTGTCAGGCCAAAAGCTGAGGCCATGGTTGGATCTGTGTGAGGCAATGAGGTTGAGCTCGAGGCATGTTTTCCTCTGTATGTGTGGCAGCAAAGGGGTGAAAGGCGGTTCGGCAGCACTGTCTCAAACTGGGGCCTGGCTGCTGAGATTGGACCCTCAGGTTCATGGAAACAGAAGTCCTGTACCATGAGTATTGTGCAAGGCTGATGTTAGGATTACTTACAAATGAACTAATAATACTTAAAATGTGCGGGCAGAAAAGAAAATGCGTAGATTTAGGGTTTGAAATACAGTGCAAGGAATACTCCATTACCATTACCATAGATCTGTTATCTACCTTTTTTCATATTTGGGCTTCCCCTCTGATTTGCAGATAAGAATTGAGATGTAAGGTTCTTCCGTTTCTAAAGATGAATTTTCCTTATTTTCCAGAATTGAAAGGGTTATAGACAACAATACTACAGTGAAAATGGTTCCCATCAAGATAGTTCATTCTGAGAGCAGTGCAGAGAAGGAAAGTCGGCAAAGTCTTGTCACTACTATGGAGCCTCCTGCTTTACCCAGTGGTTTGGAAAAGGACCAAATTAAAACACTCAGCACTTCTGAGCAATCCTATTCACGATTCTGTGCTTACACCAGGCAAGGTGTAGAGCCAGAGCCGGAAGCCAGAACCAAACCAGCTGACCCTCAACCGGCTGAAGAACCTGGGAGCAACTTGAAGGACAGCAGCACTGCCATGCCAGCAGTCAGCTATGTAAAGGCCAAAGAGAAGACCTTTGAAGACTGGAAGTCAGAGGAACTAGCCAGAGAGATTGTGGGAAGAGATAAATCTCTAGCAGACATACTAGATCCTAATGTGAAAATAAAAACAACAATGGATCTGATGGTTGGAATATTCCCTAAAGATGAACACCTCCTAGAAGAAGCTCAGCAGCGCAGGAAGCTCCTGCCAAAAGTTCCTTCTCCAAAAATTTCAGAGGAGAAGTGAGTATAACTTTCTGTAGGCCAGTGGTTCCTTGCAAGCTGCTGTCCAAAGTGTGTCAGTTTTCCTAGGGGACTGAAGGTGAGGATCTTCCTGCTGTTGAGGTTTGGGGCTTTTCTAAGGCTTTTCCGTTGGTCAAGCATAATACTACTCACTCATTGTAGTGGTGAAAGGTCTTCTGCACTACTTCAGTTTTAGCTTTTGGTGGGCATGTGCTGAGTTCACACAAATTTTCTTTACAACCAGTATTTATTTATCCTATTTCCATAGGTAATGGCTTTCTGTTGAACCCGCTGCTTGCTTGATGATGGCTCTAAAAGATTGTCCTTTCTTTTCAGTGATTAGGGTGTCAAGGCAGTTAATGAAAGTTTTGACTTTTTACCAGGAAAGAGGAGCAAAGCGCGCCATCTGCCATCTCCCTGACAACGAATTCTACTTACTACAGCACATCTGCACCGAAGGCAGAGCTGCTGATTAAAATGAAGGACATGCAGGAGCAGCAGCAACAGCAGCAGAGCGAGGACGATTCTGAAGACGAGCTGGATCATGACTTGTCAGAAAAGAAGGTGAAAGACATTTCTAAAAGTGTAATGGGAGGCTCCTGGTTGCGTGCGTTTCAATAACTGAATTGCTAGGTAAACAGTCCTGAATAAAAGGCCTTCTAGATGTACAGCATCACTTGGAAAATCAGCCTGTTTTTTGTAAGGGCAGCGGGGATTGTTAAGTGTCCAACTATGAATTTAGGAACTTCATATTAGGTGCTTTTTGCAGCTTGATACATGTTTTGGAAGGTCCCAAGGGGAGAAGTTTTGGGGAGGTTATTTTCAAATACTGTTTTCCATTTGAGATTTTAGTGTATTTCTCTCACTCGCTATATACATAGAAACAGTGGTGCTTATGTATCCCGCTGTAACTGATGGTGGTTTTAGTTGCTCCGCATTATTGAAATTTAGGTCCAGGATTTGGGTTTGTCAGGAGAGAGGGGAAAAAACACCCTCACTCACATCCCCACCCACACCCCCCTTTTTTTTTTCCCCTTCGTTTGTTTTCATGAGCAGCAAAACACTTTGCCTTCTATTTCTTCTACCTCCCAAATTAATAACAGTAGTGGTGGGAGATAGCTGATCAGCTTGGTGGATTCAGTGGAAGTTACTCATCGCAAGGGAGGCAGTCTTCTCCACTCTTGTTCATCCCCATCCTTTGATGTTTTATTTCTGATCTAAGGTCAACATAATCCCCTAGGTATTAAAATGATGATATAATGGCCTTTCTGTGGTTTGAGAAAGTGTTGTCCTACGTTAAAATCATCGCACTCATCTCATTAGTGATTTGGCACAAAATATTTTAATCATAGTTCCCAGTACGGATAAGCTGGAGGAAATGGTCTGTTTGATCAATTGAAGTGATGTAGTTTAACTCTGTTTACCTAAGCCAGTAATGCAATGGTGTGCAAATCTTTTCTGTTAAAGTCAGATCTCTGCTTAATAATCAATTGCCAGGGTACATTTGGTAATCCAGTCCCAAAGAAATGTCTTTTAATTAAATAGTAGGAATATATTTAGTCACTAAGAATGAGAGATTCCTTAGGAGATTCCCACCTCTGGTTCAGTGCAGGAGCGGATGCCACTGCATTTGAGGGGACTGTAGTGTTTTCTGTTACCACTCTGTTGTTTTGTTTTTTTTTTTCTCCTTCAGCCTTCCCTCCCTCCCTCTGCCCCCACTGCATCGCACAGTTCAATGTGGCGTGCACAGCCGGGGGCATGGCGTGGCTGCAGCGGGAAAGCTGCCCTTACCCTCTCGCCAGAGAGCCACTGAATCCAACAGCTGTACTACTTAGACAAATTAAGGATTTCACTGCATTTGGAATAATTTGGTTTTATCTGGTGCCACACATGACAGTCACGTTCATCATTTTTGCTAGAATTAGTTTTCTTCTCATTAATTATGGAGTGTATGTATGGCGGGGGTGTTAAAATTAAACCTTTCTTGTTTGCCCAGCAAACTGAATACTAAAACTTTTATAAGGAAAAGTGCCATTTATTTGTGTTGGTGTCTATTAACAGGAAAATCATGTTCACCCTTTACATACTCCTCCCTCCATCCCCCCAGCTCCAGTATACACCACTAATCATATGAGATAGGAAGTATTTAATGAAGAGCTTTTAGCAGAGCTCCCCCATCTTCTTCTCTGAATATACATATTGTCGTAGCCATGCACACATTGCTGCTTACTTCTCTCTCTGCTCCTCTACATGCGTTAAGATGCGAGCGCTCAGTTCAGTGGGCTTTCATCTTGGATCTTGTCAGAAAATGTATAAAACTCTCGGTAAGTGGGTCAAGGCATCTTTATAAAACAGCCAGAATATATAACTTGGCCCAGCTTCACTTATTTGGCAACAGTTTAACAAGAAATCATCGAGGACCTGAACACTTCAATAGCACACTTTACAACTTCAATTATTTTAGAGGAGGCATACGCCCAGAACCTGTTCCTTGATTCCTAGAAATTGGTCAGTTCTGTTATGAGATATCTTAATTGCAGTCCACTGTGGAAGGATTGTAGTAATTGTCATTCTCTGCTCTGCAAACCAGAAATGTGTGGTGGTTTTTTTTTTTTTTCCTTTTGAAAAAAATATAGGAATTTTTTATAAGGTCGTTAATTTTTTTTTTTTTTTTTTTTTTTAAATTTGGGACGATCCTTGTATTCCCAAGGCAGGAAAGGCAAGTGTGTGTCTCGTACTGAATTTAATGTAGGTTTACCACAATTATAAAATGTTGAACAGGTGGTGAAGACACTACAGGAGTGGGTTTTGTAGTAAGAAAAATCCATGTGCAGCTGAGTAGGAAGTGTCCCTTTTGGCTTTAGGAAAGTTTCAGCAACTCCTGAAGAGTGTAAAAATAATTGAAGAATGCCAAGTTTCTTCTGCTTTTAGGCCTGAACTTTATGTGAAATGGGGTGGTGACCATAAAGTGTGCCAAGCAGTGAACCACCTGAGCAGGACTCTGAGGAGTTACTTTCTGCTAGTCAGAT